CGATGCTCCCCCCATAAAGCATTCACTCCTGCCACTGTGGGAGGCAGGATACCGGGCTAGATGGACTATTGGTCTGACACAGTATGGCACGTCTTATGTTTTAATGTTTATTTCATCCAGTGCCATGATGGGCTTGCAGACAGCAGGAGTACTACATAGAAATAAATACATTACTTTATTTTTAATTATTTTAACATTATTAAATAGATATAATAAAATAATTAAATCTTTAAGTTAATATAATTAAAATATAAAAATCTATAAAACCATGTATTTTTATTTAATATAATTAGATGAAATTCATCAAGGACAAAGGAAAAGTCCTGCACTTGGGGTGGAATAATTGCATGCACAAATACAAACTGGGAAATAATTGGGTAGGCTGTAGCCCAGCCAAGAAGGACCTGGGGATACAGTGGTTGGTTTGGTGGCCTGGGGACAAGTATGCAACGGCATTGCAAAAAAACTCTAAGAACATACTGGGTTGCATTAACAGGAGTGTCACTTGCAAATCAAGGGACGTGATTCTTCTGTTCTATTTGGCATTGATGAAGCCTCGCCTGAAGTACTGTGTCCTGTTTTGGGCCTACACTTTGAGAGAGATGTGGACAGATTAGAAAGAGTCCAAAAATGATTGTAGGCAACAAAAATGATTGCAGGACTAGAAAATATGGCTTAGGAAGAAAAGCTGAAAGAATTAGGGTTGGTTAGTCTGGAGAAGAGAAGACCAAAGTGGGACTTGATAACAGTCTTCAACCTGAAGGGAGATTATAAAGAGAATGGAGCTAGCAATTTCTCTGTGGCTGCGGTGGACAGAACTAGAAGCAATGGCCTCAAACTGCTGCAAAAGGAATTTAGGTTGGAGATTAGGAAGAACTTTTTGTCTATGAGAATGGTCAAGTTTTGGAACGGGCTACCAAGACAAGCCATGCAATCTCCATCCCTGGAAATTTAAGAGCAGTTTAAATAGACACTTGACTGGGATGGTTTAGTCAGGAGTGATCCTGGTCTGAGCAGGGGGCTTGACTAGATGAACGCATGTTTTTATCATCCTGCTTTAGGGTGACATAGTTATATCTGCATGGTCCTATAGCAATCCAAGTTAACTGTTATGGCATAACTGTTGAAATATGCTCCTGGGCAGTCTTCTCCCCACCCCCACATTTAACATGTTTTAAAAGTACATTTATCGGTAACCTTGGACAGTTCTAGTGACAGGGTCTGACACAAAGTATACAACCCAGATTGACAAAGCACACCAATTTGCCTAGTAGGTTTACAGATCTAAGAGTGCCAGAAATTTTGAACTTTGCCTAAGTACAGACTGGAGCCTTTCCATGTTAATTTATTTTGTTTGTTGCTCGCTTCTTTGGGAAACAGGTTTATGCAACATGGAATTTGGGACTCTGACCCCTTCTGCTCACTATTTGATCAGGAGGCAGAAAATTCAACTCAGCAATTAGGTGGAGGTTCAAAATTAGATCACAAAGAAGCATGGATAAACAATAGCATAACAGAATAGTAAAAGGGAGCCCTATTAGTCTAATTTATTGGCACCCTATGGCCCTTGGTACATTAACAAAAGGTAATAGTAAGAATGAAAAAAGGCAGCTTGCCCAATTAAACTGAGAGGTAGGAAGCAAACTGATTTCCAAACAAAACGCAAACAATATAGACACATGTGGAAATCGACATAAAATTACATGGTAACCAAGGCAAGCTCCCATTCATTTGGAGAGCCTAAAGAACTGGCAAGAGAAGCTTGCATGTAAGGAAGTCTCACAGGAGAGAAAGATTCTTTATCACAAATGCAGAGTAATCACAGGACTTTAGCTGAGCTTCACTTTTATATGGTGTTGCTGAGAGAGAACAAATACCAATATTTTACTGCATACAGCATGCCCCCCAAGTAAAACCTTGTTTTTGGAAGGCAGGATACAGAAAACAAGATTTTTCCAGAGTCATGGCTGACTGTGTGACAGAGTAAGTCCCCCTGGGACCACATAATGTTCTGGAAGCATGGCATCCCAGGAGATAGTCTGGGTGAGGCAGCAGGAACTTCCTGCCACACCACGGCTGGGAGCAGAAAGCAGAACAGCAGATTGGGCCAGGGAAGGGATTGGACTGGCACTTGGGGAGAGTGTGGCGCACTCCAGCCAGAAAGGTTGTCCCCACACTGGTCTACATGAGGTCTAATCAGTGCCAAGTAGAGGCACTATCACCTCTTGCGTCTTGCACCTAATGCTTCTATTGATGCAACCCAAAACCTCATTTGCCTTTTGTGTGGTGTGTCACACTACAAACTCACACTGAAGCTATGATTCACCAAGACTTCAAGTTCTTTCCCCATTACAGCTGTCATCCAGCCACATATCACCATCTTGTATTTGTGGTTTTGACTCTTCTTCCCAAGGTGCAGCTCCTTGCATGTGTCAGCAGTGAACTTCATTCTGCTGGCTCCCAATTTTATATCATCTGAAAATTTGCTCAAGAAGCTCTCTGTTCCAGCCTCTACATCATTAATAAACATGTTAAATTACACTAGGCCCAGGACAGACCCCTGTGGGACTCCACTTGTAGCCTCCTGCCATTCTGACATGGATCCATTTATAATTACCCTTTGCTTGTGGCTATTGAGCCAGTTGTTTATCCACCTTATAGTAAATTTGTCAAGCCCACATTTCTCCAATTTATGGGAATGTTGTGTGGCACTTTGTCAAAAGGTTTGTTGAAATCCAAATACACTATATCCACAACATTCCCTTTATCCATGTAACAAATGCATTTACCCAA